AAAACAACAACAGATTAAAATAAATAAAGTATCAAATTTTGTTTAATAACATCATTGGTGGTAGCCCTTGTTGTCTGCATTGGTAGGAAGGTTGGTTGGTAGTAACTTGGTCTTGGTTACCTGACAAGTTGGGTTTTTTCGCGTTACTTGGCAACCAGCAAACCGGTGGCAGTGGAAGCTATGGTGGTGGTATGGCGTTTAAGTCCCCAGCAGAAATTATTTCAGTCAGTCATTCGATATCTTCTCCTTTAAAAAATGTTTTATTTGTTTAGTTTCGTCCGCATCTTCTTCGTCGTTTTTACGTTTTCTGTTCGCATTTGTTGCCTGTTTTTGATTTGTGTGAAGCACTATTTCCTCATCTCTCCGTTTCGACTGTTTGAAATTTAATTAAGTTGTGATTCATTCCCAGGCAATCATTTGCAAGGTGAAGGGGAATGGAATGCTTATTGATTTTATGCTCTGTGTTTGTTTTTGTTTACTTTCATTGTTCGCACGAACACACACATATTTTCATTCATCCATACATCTTGACATTCCTTTGCAAACATGAAAATGGATATTTTTTTTGTTTAAATAATACCTATTTGGTTATTGTTTTAAATATTATGGACTTGTCTGGAAAAAAAGTAATCATCGGAAACCATTTCAAACCTCTCCAAACGTCCACCAAGTGTGAGCAAAAAAATTATTTGTATTTGCTTAGAAGTCAGTCAGTCAGTCAGTCATTTTTGTTGGCAAGGTGATTTATGGAATCCCATTAGAGAGCAGATTTGTTTATGGCTATGGCTATGTTTATTTTTTGAGGGTAAATTGGCAGACAAGTTTCTGAATTTTTGAATAGAAAAATTCTCACGGATTTTCAAATTGAGTGGCATTATTTTAATTTTTGAAACTTAAGACCCATCAAAGACATCTTACATAAAAGTCCGTTCGTGAACTCGTCCTTCATAAATATGAAACTTCTAATGATAGGGAACCAAAAAGAAGACATTTTGAAAGATATTATCTTGAGAAAAAAAAAAAACCCTTTTAAAGGATACCAACTAATAGGGCTTTCTATCAGATATTTTTATGTTCTTCAAAAGAAACAACAATACATTTCTAAAAGTCTTTTAAAAGGGATATTCAATAAATAGGGACATTTTTAAAAACAGATTCGTAGAATAAAGTCATTTTTAAGATTTTCAATTGAAACTTTTACAACTATTTACCAAACCATTTTATAGGAAAAAGCTCTTCCTTCTTCTATAGAAAAAATCACTTTTTAAAGATCTTCCATAGAAAGAATAATTTTTTTTTTTGGTCCTCTATAAACATACGACTTTTTCAAGATCGGCTATGGAAAAAAGCCCACACCTCAAGTCTAATGTAACAATAATGTATTTTTTAAACATTTTTCATAATAAGTCTCTTCTTCCTTAGGTCTTATCTAAAAAGGCCGACTATAAAAAATGCTTTTTCAAGGGGTTTTCTTGGTAAAAGCCGTCTATAGGCAGGCGACCTTTTCAATGTTTTCCATAGAGGGAAAACTTTTTTAGTATTTTCTACACACAGAATACCTTTCCAATGCTTTCTATGAAGAGAGCGACTTCTACAAGTCTTCAGTAGAAGGAAGTCCCTTCAATAGATTTTCTATAGAAAAAGAAGACCCCTCTAAACGCTTCTATAGAACGAAGATATTTTTAAAGGTATTCAATAGAAAGTCATAAGGACTTCTTCCACATTTCCATAGTCGTCTCTGAAAGGATTTTTTTTTAAGTTTTCATCAGAAAAATAGACTTTAAGGACATGTTTATACACTTTTTACCTTTTACGTTTTCAAGAAACCTTTCAATGCCTTCTATAGAGAGAACACTTTTTCAAGACCTTCAAAAATGAAGAGTATTTTTGAATACTTTTTTTTTTTTTTTTTTTGAATAGGACTTCAATAAAAAATCCTTCTATGGAAATTAGAAGAGGCCTTGTATTGAAGGACAATTTTTATAAATGAAGTCTAAAATGAAGTCCCCTTTTTAATAAGGCGTTTTTAAATAAGTTCTTCAGAAATAAGACTTATCTAAAGGTCTTCTATAGAAAAAAAACCTATATGTTTTCTATAACAAGCAGAACATTTTTGAGATCTTCTTTGGAAAAAAATCGTTTAAAATTCCTTCCATAAAAGTTATTTTTAAAAATCTCTAGAAAGAAAACCATTCAAAGGTCTTCAGCAGAAAGATATGTTTAAAGACCTTCTCTAAAAATTATCTAAGAGCTCTCTGCAGAACGAAAATGTTTCATATTCCTTTCTACATCTACAGAACCACGGCCCTTCTATAGAAAAAAGAAGTTTATCTAGAAATAAATTCGAGAAGAAAGGTCTTTTTTAAATACTCTCCACCTTGGAAAGGAGGGTATATGAACTTTATCATTCCGGTTCCTAAATATTCTTCGTAGACGCCATAAAGTATACATATATTCATAATCAGCACAAAATTCTAAGTCGATTTAACGATGTCCGCCTGTTTGTTGAAGCCACGATACAGCGCACATTATTGGACTTAGTGCTTAGTGTAGTGCAATTTGTATTGGGTCTAGGATGGTTGGTATTGAAAATGAGATACATCAATCCACGTTTTGGCATAGCCCCCATATAACGATACCTCCCGATATTCGGTATTTTGATGATTTTCGGCACATTTTTCACGGATTTTTCTGAAAATTGGTATTTGTAGGACATAATTGGTTCTAGCTCCGGTGGTAAAACATTGTACTGTACGTTGTACTTTTTTGTATAGCCCCTATATAACGGTTCCTCCCTATATTCGAATTTTGATTATTTTTGCCACATTTTTCCACGGATTTGTCTAAAAGTTGGTATTTGTAGTTCATAATGTGTTCTATCTCCGGCGGCAGAACATTGAATACTTAGGTCCACGATACCTACCGATATTCGGTATTTAAATAACCCTAGTCACATTTACCCACGAAATTATTTCAAATTTGGTATTTAAGAAGATTTGGTAGATGACAATCCTTGAAGTATAACATTGTCTACATAGATTCCCCTTTTGGTATGGCCCCCATGCAACGACCTCACACACTACAAGAACAATATTTTTAGGGTTTTCTATAGAGGAAAAGATAGCAAAAAGACCTTTTTTGGGGCTCTTATTTATAAAAAAAATTCTGAGCGACTATAAAGGTAACCCTGTTCTATAGAAAGTTTATATTTCTAAAGGTATTATCTATAAGGATGTCTTCTCTACAGAAATAATGCCTTTATAAACTTCCTTAAACTTTATCTCCCGACAGACTACCTATCTAAAGGTTTTATACCAAGAAGGTTTCTGTACTTATCTAAAGGTTTTATGCCAAGAAGGTTTCTGTACGAATTATGCATTTTAAATGATTTCTGAAAGACCTTTTTAATGGTCTTCTATAGGTCTTGCAAAAATCGAATGATTTTCAATAGAAAAAGATCTATTTAAAAAAGTTTGTTTCTAAAGATCTTCTCTCGAAAGATCCCGTCGAAAAGTAATATAAATTTTAAAATATATATTCTTCACAATCTTCTATAATAAGAAAAACTCTTCAAAGGGATTTAGAAAAAATCCTGTCTAGGTTCTTCCAGAGGTTGAGGACATAGTTTTACTATGGGGGGACATCTTGGAGTTCTTCCATAAAAAGGAAACTGTTTAAAGGTCTTCCAAAGAAAAAAAAAAATATGTATAAATATCTTCTCGTCTTCTCTAGGAAGAAAATGATTTAGAAGGTCTTCTATAGAAAGACAATTTTTTAAAGGTCTTCTGTAGCATTAAAACATTTCTGAAGGTCTTACATAAAAATGCCTACTCGAGAAAGAATCCCTTTTTAATGGTATTTTTAAAATAAGCACTTTATAGAGGTATTCTATAGAAAGGATGTCTTATTACTAAGACTAAAGTATTCTATAGAGAGATTATTTTGGAGGCCTCTATAAAAATGTTATGGCATTCTATTAAAAATAATAAAAATTCCGATGAGAGAAGACTTTCTGCTCTTCTGCAGAAAGAACCCCGTTCAAAGTGTCTTCTATAAACAGAAGACGTTTTTATAATTGTCTTATGTAGAATAGACATTTCTAGAAGCAATGAGTTGCTTTTCTAGAAGATTTTCAAAGGGAAACTTTTCTTAAAATATTCTATAGAAAAGACTTTCCCAAATATCTTTTATAGGAAGCATTATATTTTTAAATTTCTTCTATACAAAGAGGACTGTTCTTATTTTGAAAGAAAACATTTCTGGAAGTCTTCTATAAAACATTTTTCTAAAGGTATTCTTACAAAAAAAATAAACTTTTCCAAAAGCAAGACCTTTCTCAGGTGTTCCTACTTTCTGCTCTTGTGCTGAGTAAACCTTGTTCTTTTGGTATAAAGAGAAGGTCTTTCCAAAACGTGTCTACAGAGATACGATTTTTCTAAGTGTATTCTAGAAGTATAATGGACATTTTCTCTAAAGAGAAAATCTCTCAACTATCCTCCAAGAGAGAACCTTTTTAAAAGGGATTTTCTTTAGAGAAGCTCCTTTAGAAGTCTTAAGAGAAAAGTGCATATTCAGTATTTTTTTCAAGGGGGTTCCTAGAGGGAATATCTATATGGTATTTTATAGAGAGAGATTTTTAATAGCCTTCGGTAGAGGGACATTCTTTCTACTGAACTTTTTAGGAAATAAGTTCTTTCCAGAAGCTCTTGAAACAAGACGCTCCTAGGAACAGTTCCATACAATGACGACTTTTCTAAATATTCGTGCCAAGAACGTATTCATAAACGTATTTCATATCAATATCAAAAATGGTACAAAATAGTCATTTCGAGGGGGTCGCGGTCTTTCAAGCCTACCTGCGTACGCCATTGTTTATTTCATTGAACTACATAACATTCTTATACAATTTCAGACTCTTTTCTTATTTACTTAAAGCTTCATTTAATTTTTTTCAACTAAAATACTCATAAAAAATGTTCATCCCTTTCCTCTCTTTGCAGGCTCCAAACGTGCACGACTCTCAAATGAAACCGATCAAGATACCGGCTCCGAATCATCACCCAGAAGTCCACGGGCCAAGACAACAAATTATCATCACAACAACAACAATGGTAACCTCTCGCCTGCTCGCACCGGTCCACCCAGTTCACCCGAATCAGATTTAGATGTTGATTCAGCTCCCGATGAGGCCACCCCCGAAAATTTGAGTTTGAAGAAAGAAGACTCCACATCACCACCGCACACACCCTCAGCTGAGAGCATGCATATGTTGAGGAGTTTCAGCAACGGCAATCCTCAGGGCTTCATGCCCTATCATCACACACAATTTTTGGCAGCGGCGGCAGCCAGTGCCCATTCACATGCTGTGGCCCAGCATTCACCACATCATCAGGTTCAGCAGCAGCAGCAACAGCAATCCCCCATGATGGGACATCACCCTGGAGCGGGGGTGGGTGCAGCCCTGCCACAGCCACACCAACGCTCCCCTGTTGATGTCTTGATGCGTGTGTTTCCCAATCGCCGGCGCAGTGATGTTGAACAGCTATTGCAACGTTATCGTGGTGATGTCCTACAGACCATGGAAGCTATGATATCGGGCGAGGACTTGAATCATCTGATGCCCACATCGGCCCATTCACCACCCAATGTACCACCATCGCCACCGTTTCCCCTCAAATCGGCCTTTTCACCATTGGTTCCACCAGCTGCTGTTTTCGGTTCACCCACCCACCGTTACCCCCCATTTATGCAGGCCCATGCCAAGAGATTCTTGGCAGCCCCATATGCTGGGACGGGTTACCTGCCGGGTGTCATAAATCCCGCCGATTGTGAGCAATCCGAATCGAATGGTGGCACCTCAGTGGATCGCAATAGCAATGCAGGTGATTCGCAAGATTGAGAAATCGACATGGCCGGTGGTGAAAACAACGGCCTGGTGTTTAGACCATTTGAGTAACGCTGGCGTAGAACTCATGACGAAGTAAACTAAATTCTAAATGTTAAAATGAATGTATATTAATTTGGTATTGTCAAAGAAAGGGTCTCAACTAAATGTATATTTCCCAAAACAAAATGATTTGAGTTAGAATATTTTGATTTTAATTTTCGAAAAACAAAAAATGCAGGGATTTCAGCCACAGATCATCCCTTGTTATTTGCTATAGGTTTTATAATGTTAATCATGTTAGAGTGATATAAAAATAATAAAAACAAATTGTTGCTTTGTAAGATGTTTAGTTTAGTGACAAGAAAATCGACAACAACCCCAAAATCATATAAAAACCAAAAAACAAAAACATCAACTAGTATAACTTCAAATATACGTACTCTCCCCGCCCCATTGCCTATGTTACCCTGTGTATAATCGTTTTTCCATAGAACATTAAAAAGCATGAATACAACATCCTCTCTCTCCTCAATCAGAGAATTGTATTACATTTTCAACAGCCTTAGTAATGACACTCCTCCCCGCACCCTTTCCCCCTAACAATGTAATTCGTATTCAAAAATGAACCTACATACACACAAACGTACATATTGCGATATTTAATCATAGTTATTGTTTAAGCCTTAAGTAGTAGTTAAAATATTAAGGAATTAATAAATATTATTTGTAAAATATAAAAAAAACATATACTATGAAATAAATACTGTGTTAAATAAAACGAATATTAAAAAAATAAACAAATTTGAATTGTGATTTTATAGAAAAAAAAAAAACAAACAAACAAACAAGTAGAAAAACAATAAGTTCGGCCGAGCCGAACTTTTAATACCCTTCATTTCAGGATAAAGGACACATTAGAACCCATTATGACCCACAAATATCAATTTTAGACATATTCGTGGGAAAATATGACAAAAATCATCAAAAGACCGAATATCGGGAGGTACCGCTATATAGGAACTATACCAAAACAAGGACCGATATATATCATTTTTGTTACAAACGGAATGACAAAGTTAATATAACCTCCTTTCCAAGGTGGAGGGTATGAACATGGGGAATACAGAGTGAGATGAAAAAACTGCAACCAACTTCAGACTGTTGTCATTTATAAGCCATTCGTCCGACAGCTGTTAAATTTATTAAAGTGACAGCTACTATATTGTTGACATGCGTACAAAAGCATTTTTTTCTTGATGGAATTTCTTTATATTTGGCTGGTATGTCCTATTTTTAGACATCTACGAACCGGGTCTTCAATATAAGGGACGCTGGAATACTAGACTACTGGGTTGGGAAAATTCAACAAGAACTTTTATATGTCTAAAACTGTTAGGTATTGCTATAAGTGGTAGTTACTCCATAATCAGGACTTATTTCTATTATGAGATCAGTAAATTCTAATTTTTCTTAAAAAAGTCTAAATTAGAGACAAGTAGAAACAGCTACGTTCAGCCGGGTCGAACTTTTAATACCGTCCACCATCCAACTTGCAAAATGTAAAAAAATTCGGTAGAAAAATATCGCTATATTTTTATAAATTTACAATATCAGATAATACTTTTATGTGAGTCTATACGAAAGCATGTATCACTACAGCCAATTATACGCTAGATAAAATGATGCCTATTACGAACGTCAAACATTAAGTTTGAGATAATTCTGTTATAAAATGTTGCTAAATAATCAAAATACCGAATATTTGGAGGTATCTTTATGTGACGGCTATACGAAGTCGTGGATATGTGCAGAAAATTTTCTATCCTAGGAAAGTAGTTCTCAATGCGAATTCCAAATTCGGAATTTGAAATAATTCTTTCGGAAAGTGTGTCTGAAATTAGCAAAATATAGCATATTTTGATAATTTCCGTTATATGGGAGCTATATGAAAGCGTAGATCTCTATAGCCAATTATTTACCAATTTTTAGATAACTTTGTTAAAAAATGTAGTTAAAATCGTCAAAATACCGAATATTGGGAGTCAGTCAGCATGTATATGCATACCTATAGGAAGGCTTGGAAGTTTTCTGTCACAGTAAGCAGTACATATTGCGAAATCCATATTCGATGAAAAGTGTGACACAAGTGATCAAAATATCGAATAACATTTCTATGGGGACTTTACAAACACTTGGATCTTTGTGGGCGGTTCTATACAAGTACAGGGTGAGATTAAAAAACTGCAACCAACTTCAGACTGCTGTCAGTTCTAAGCCACTCGTCCGACAGCTCATTATATTGTTTGCAGGCATACAAAAGCATTTTGTTGAGAATTTTTCAGAAAAAAAAAATTTGTGATAGAATTCAAGCGTGATAATGTCTGTCTGTTTGTCAGTTGAAGTAACAATACAGCCCACATAATTTGACGTAGAGCTTCAATATTGGTCCGTCCACGATATTTGGTATTTTCAAGATTTTTGCCACATTTTTTCATGGATTTGTCCATAAATTGGTATTTGTAGGTCACAATGTGTTCTAGCGCCGACGTAAGAACATTAAATATTTAGGTCCTCGTTTTCCTATAACGCATATATAACGATACCCACCGATATTCGGTAATTTGATAATTTGTATTTTAGAAAATTTGGTTGATGACAATCCTTGAAGTATAATATTATTTATAGAGGTTTCCGGTTTGATTTGGCCTCCATACAACTGCCTCATCCGCTTTATGTTTTTTTTTTTTTTTTTTTAAAGCTTAACAGCATTATCCAAACGGTCTTACTGGTATTTGTAGTTTAAAGTGGAACACGTTTGAACTCAGATACTTTTGTATAAAAATGGTATCTTTACCCAAAATTCTTGAATTTTTCCCTGTCCTTAACTCTCTTCTCGGGCGTGTCGATTGGCTTCAATTGTGTGATCAGGAATTTTTTTCTGTTTTTGGTTCATTTGAGCATTTGAGAAATTTACACTTCATTATCATAAGTTAAATTGAAAAAAATCGCATGCAATAAAAATACGAAAAAATAAAAAATTGTGACATTTACAAAATCTATATTAACATCATTATTGGCATTTTTATGCGATTTTTTTAGATTTTATTCCTTCACGCCAAGAGGGCATTCTGAATTGACAAAATTTGTCAAAATTGGTCCAGCCATTCTTGAGATATAAGCATTCTAGCTAACATCCCCTTCCTGTGTATATATTTCGCTATATATATCCGATATATTAACTATCGGCATCTACGTAACGGTCAGAATTTGCCTATTTGTGATTTCGCCGGGATTAAAAATATTCGCGGTTTCATGGAAATTTGATCTTTATTTAACACAAATGTTATGGTCTATTTCACCCGCTAAATATTACCCGATGACTATCCAAATTGGAAGGCTTCTTCCCAGCCCTAAGCTCTAAGCCCATGCTAACATCCGTCTATAATTGAGACTGCAAAATTAGGAAATTTTGAGTTTTTGGTCCATTGCAACCCACCTCCATTCTAAATTTCGTGAAGAGAGATAGGAAGATCCATATATACTTTTCTATGTGGAAACCAATATTTCGAGGTGTTACATAATTTTTGGCCCAATCAAACTTATAATACCCCCAACACATAGTGTTGTAGGGTATAAATACCAAACTCACACTCCGCCAAATTCTAATTTGAAATGACAAACTTTCCAACTTTTTCACACGACACCATATTTTTCGCCCAGTTGACATTTTAATGAGATAAAAATTATAACAAAACAACCAAAAATAATATTGTGTGAAAGATATCAATGACAATAAATTGAACGGCTGACCGACCAATGATCCAGCATCGAATAACGCCTGGTCTAGGCAAAACAAAAGCGTGACAGACGCACCAGTGACAAACGACGAGCCTACATCGACATCTGAAATATTCAACCAGTCATGTATTGATTCGGTAGCAGGGACAGACAACAAACGCCAGGCAGGATATCATCATTGTTATTTGTAATTTTATAAATGAGTTGCCAAAATTCTAATCCCAATAAATTTATAATAAAATCCATAAACACACTCCAAAGCAAACAATGGGACTATGGGGATCAGATGCTGCCACTGCGATATCGCATTATGATGGCCACACAGGACACGAAACGCACACACACAGCTACAGCCCCTGAAATTGACTGGTGGTGGTGGTGATGCCTGTTCATGGTGTAAACTATCTCCCATTAACAACAATGGCAAGTGTGAAAACCATCTTCCATTCTACTTTTCACTTGGATAGTTTATAGTTTTGGCAGCAGCAGTAGAGCATGGTTTTGCACAGCCAAAAGAGAAGCCCAACAATGAATGGAAACCAAATATTAATCCTCTAATAATTGCCGAGAGAATGGGAGTGCGGCGAAGGATAATAATGATGCTGTTGAGAAACAAATATAATTATTGGACAAGGGAGACCATAGATTATGGTAGGCTTAGTTTTTGTTGTCGTTATTGTTGTTTTATGGGGTCGAAATGACCAGCATATCAGAAATGTATAGTCAAGGAATTGAACCCAATAGCTGAAATGATAAAGGAAAGGTAAATATAATAGTATCTATTACACATTGCGGAAAGGGAGAGGGGAAATTACTTTTGTTTATTGAATCAAATGGTCAAGCAGTAAATAATAACAGCAACAAAAACTATTGTAATAATATCGGGTTGGCTATTATATTGGAAGGTGTATTTGTGTGGAGGTTAATCTCAATATAAACAATTAATCAGAATTTTGCAATTCTTGGAAAAGAAATAACTTTTGATGATTTGGTTTTGTAAATCAATGTAAAAATATAGAATTTAATCTGAAGGAATCTTATAATTCGATATTCATAAATAAATTTAAAAATACTTCAGCTATTATTAATATAAAGTTCAAAAAATGCAAATTAGAGATATATTCGAAGAACAGAATATTTGCATAATAATGACTCTAGACCGATATTCGGTATTTCTTTATCGAAATTGTTTCAAATGTAGTATTTTTCGTATTCAAAGTTCGTAATGGATACTACATAATTTGACAAAAAATTTGATATGCAGGTCCACGTCTTGTATATACAGGATGAGATGAAAAAACGGCAACCAACTTGATTGTTGTCATTTCAAAGTCGACAGCTGTTAAAATTATTCCTGTGACAGCTCATTATATTGTTTACAAGCGTACAAAGTCATTTTGGTGAGAATTTTCCAGAAAAAAAGTTATTCGCAATGGAATTCAAGCGTGATAGTGTGATTTCTTTATATTTGGCTGGAAAACCACAAATGGCTATCGTTAGAGAACTCCAGCATTTAAATGTGAATAAATC